AGGTCCTTGTAGTAATTTCTGATGATTCTTTTTATTTCTGTGGTGTCTGTTGTTACGTTTCCTTTTTCATCTCTGATTTTATTGATTTGGGTCTTTTCTCTTCTTTTTTAGTTAGTTGGGCCAATGGGGTGTCAATTTTGTTTATTTTTTCAAAAAACCAGCTTCTCGCTTGGCTGATTTTTTGTAATGTTTTTTTGGATTCAATCCTGTTAATTTCTTCTCTGGTTTTAATTATTTCTCTTCTCCTACTAGATTTGGGTTTGGTTTGCTGCAGTTTTTCTAGGTCCTTGAGGTGCGCTGAAAGCTCATTTATTTGGTACCTTTCCAATTTCTTGGTATAGGCACCTATTGCTATAAATTTGCCTCTCAATACTGCTTTTGCTGTATCCCATAAGTTTTGATATGTTGTGTTGTTGTCTTCATTTACTTCCAGAAAGTTTTTGATTTCTCTTTTGATTTCTTGAATGACCCAGTGTTCATTCAGGAGCATGTTGTTCAGTCTCCATGTGTTTGCATACTTTCTGGGGTTTCCTGAGTTGCTAATTTCCAGCTTCATCCCGCTGTGGTCTGAGAAGCTGCATGGTATGATTCTAATTCTTTTAAATTTGCTGAGACTTGCTTTATGGCCTAGTATGTGGTCAATCCTAGAGAAGGTTCCATGCGCTGCTGAGAAGAATGTGAAGTCTGTAGATGTAGGGTTGAAAGTTCTGTAGATATCTGTTAGATCCATTTGGGCAATAGTGTCAATTAAATCTGCTGTTTCCTTGTTGATCTTCTGTCCGGATGATCTGTCTATTTCTGAGAGTGGAGTATTGAAGTCCCCCAGTACTATTGTATTGGAATCTAAATCTCCCTTTAAGTCCCTTAACATATCTTTTAAATAGACCGGTGCCCTGTAATTAGGTGCATATACATTTATAATAGTTACATCTTCCTGTTGAATTGAACCCTTAATCATTATATAGTGTCCCTCTTTGTCTCTCTTAACAGTTTTTGTATTAAAGTTTATTTTGTCTGATATTAATATGGCTACACCTGCTTTTTTTTGGTTTCTGTTGGCATGGAATATCTTTTTCCAACCTTTCACTTTCAGTCTGCATGCCTCTTTGTTAGAGAGATGTGTTTCTTGTAGGCAACAAATAGTTGGGTTGTGTTCTGTGAGCCAGTCAGCTAAACGGTGTCTTTTAACTGAAGAATTCAGACCATTAATGTTCAATGTGACTATTGATACGTAGTGACTTTGCCCTGCCATTTTCCCGGAAATATTTTCTAGTATATGCTTTGAGCTTCCCATGCTCTTTTACTGGTAGGTGTTCTTCCTTTCCCTTCTTTCATATTGATGGCCGTGTTTCTGTGTTTCTGAGTGTAGCACATCTTTAAGTATCTTTTGCAGGGCCGGACGAGTGGCCACAAAGTCTTTCAATTTCTGTTTGCTATGAAAGGTCTTTATTTCACCTTCATTCACAAATGAGAGCTTGGCAGGATATAATATTCTGGGCTGGCAATTTTTCTCTCTTAGCACCTGTGCTATGTCTCGCCATTCCCTCCTAGCTTGTAGGGTTTCTGATGAGAAGTCAGCTGTGAGTCTGATTGGAGATCCTCTGAGAGTAATCTGACGTTTCTCTCTTGCACATTTTAGGATCTTTTCTTTATGTTTCACTGTGGTAAGTTTAATTACCACGTGTCGTGGTGAGGATCTCTTTTGGTCATGTTTATTGGGGGTTCTATGAGCTTCCTGTACTAGGATATCTCTGTCCTTCTCCAAACCTGGAAAGTTCTCTGCTAGTATCTCACTAAAAAGGCCTTCCAATCCTTTCTCTCTCTCCATGCCTTCAGGAACTCCTAGAACTCGAATGTTGGTTTTTTTAATAGTATCCTGTAGATTCCCAACAATATTTTTTAGGTTTCTAATTTCCTCTTCTTTTCTTTGGTTTGACTGTATGTTTTCCTGTGCTCTATCTTCTAAGTCCGATATTCTCTCTTCTGCTTCACCCATTCTGTTTTTAAGGCTTTCTAATGTGTTTGTCATTTGATCTATTGAGCTCTTCATTTCATTTTGATTTCTCTTCACTATAACACTTTCCTGTTCTACTAGTTTCTGAGTTTCATTTTGACTCTTCCTTAAATTTCGTTTTCACGAGAGAGATTTTCAATCTTGTCCATTAAGGATTTCTGTAGTTCAAGGATTTGCTTTTGAAAACTTCTAAATGTTCTTATCATAAATTTTTTGAAATCCGTATCTTGCATTTCTTCTATCTCATCATCTTCATACTCTTGGCTTGGGGTGTTTTGCTTATTTGGAGGCATCATAGTGTCATTGTTGATCTTGCTCCCTCTATTTCTGTGTTTGTTACTCGGCATAGTTAATTCTTCTTGCGTCACTGTGCGTTTTTTTTTCTTTTTTTTTTTTTTATACTGTGTCCGGTTAAGTGGACTGCCTGCTGTTGGAGGAGCCTTGGAGGCTTGAGATGGGTGCGGCCTGAGAGCTCTGCCTGGTTCTTCCAGGTTAAGGGTGTGCAAAGGTGACACCCTCAGGTTATGCTTGGTAAATCTCTCTCTTTTATTTATTTATTTATTTTATTTATTCAGGGGGTAAGTACACCGCAGGGCAACGGCTGTGCAGAATTGATGGTATTTAGCTTCCAGTCTTTGGCTCCTCTGGACTCCCACTGGGTTGCCTAGGCTACTGAATTGTAGTGACTCAGTTCCTTAGCTCTCCCCCATTGATATGTAAATCCAGAGAGCAGGCCTGCTCTTTGTCTCTTGGGAATTCTTCTAGCCTTGCAGCCTTGTAACCTTTGCAAGGTTAGGGGGAAGAGAAACCCCGAAGCTTTTTTTTTTCCTTCTTTCCGGTAGTGAGTTTGCTGCACTTTCCGGCCCCCCTCTAGATTCTGACCCCCGTTTCCCCCCCAATGTCTCGGGTTATTGAGCTCACCTCCCCTTCCAGCGCCGATGTGTGGACTCGGAGCCCTGAGCGTCCCAAGTCCTCCCCGCTGTTGTCTGTGTGGCATGCACTCCCCTTGGAGCACTGGGGCTTCTGCGGCTCGGTCCCGCGACTTGGCTTCCGCGCGGTGGGCGACCTTGTTCTCCCAGTAGGTCCTCCGATTCACGATTCCCGTGCAATTTTTTCCTGGTTCTTTTTTCTGCGGCTACCGTAACTCCCCTTTTATTAAACTAAATTTTCCCGGACTATCGGTGCGCGCCCTCACTATTCCGCCATCTTGGCTCCTGATTGATTAAACATTGAAACGTGGCATAAGTTGGTTCTTTCCACTGCCAGCATTTCTATTCTGTGTTTCCTAGGATCTACCCAAGATGGTCCGTCATGAGATCCTGGTCTTGTTGAAGATTGTGTAAAGGCAATCTAGGAATTTATTTTCCACTCCATTTTTTGACTCAAATTATTCACTCATTTTCTTTGGTAATTCGCAAATTGATTCATTGTGTCAGTCTAGGGAAGTGCAGTTTCTCCAGTATAATTTTAAAGGGATGATAAGAAGATGATATAATTTTATAAGTATTAATATATAAAATCTATAATTGTGTAAATAGAAAAGACAGATTGATGCTCAAAATGGTGCTACGTCTGCCTACATGGAATTTTGTTTTCCAGCAGTTTTTGCAGTTGGATTTCCGGTGTGAATGAAATTTCAGGTGTAGGGTGTCTCCAAAGACAGCCTCTAGGCTGTGACTCTGAGCTGTGGCTTCACTCATTAAAACAGGCAAAGGAGGCTAACGTTCACCCAGCTGTTCAGTTACCATCTGATGCTCAGGGATTTGTTTTTCTTCTCCCATACAGATAAGGTGTGACAAATTTAAATTTTAGTACAAACTAATGTAAAAATTGCTTTTCATTTTCCTCCTGTAAAGTCCTACTTATTCATCTTTGATGACCAAGAAGGAAAAGCATCTATTTCTCTTATAATTTTTACTACAAGCGGGGGGGGGGGGTGGCTCATTCTTTCCAGATGCTTCTGAGACTGCACCTGTAACCACTGTGGAACAAAGATGCATGTGTGTTTACAGTGTTGTCAATCAACACATTTGATAAAAATGTTTCTTCAGGAACCCATCACTGAGATGAGGAGAGGCCTATTGTGATGTGAGGGGTCTTTAAAGGTTTGTGAAACTGCAAAATATGAAAAAAGTGTGTGTATCATAAAAAATCTCTGTATAAAAATAAATCTATATTTTAATTTCATTTCCATGAACTTAGTGAAGTACCCTTGTATAATAATAGTCTTAAAAATTAATTAAGTATAATGTTCGAAGTCAATAAAAATGAAAACTGACAGTTCATTTCTCAATATCCCTCAACACATCACAGAGATGCACAGTCACACAGACACTTCCATCACTGGTTCACTCCCTAGCTGGCCATGACAGCCAGTGTTGGGCTAGGCTGAAACCAGAGTCTCCCATATGGGAGCAGGGGTCCAACCACTTGGACCATCTTCTGCTGTTTCCCAAGCCATTAGCAGGGAGCTGGATCGGAAATGGAGCAGGTAGGAGAAGACCTGGTACCCATATAGCATGCCAGGGTTGAACTCCGCAGCTTTATGTACTACTCCACAGCACTGGCCCCTGCCAATTTCTTAAGTCACAAATGGATGCTTGTTTAAGATCTTAACAACGTAGTAATACTAATCATATAGGACAACTCAATTTCTATGAACCTATGAATTACTGATTACAAGACAATATGGAGAATAGGACAGCTATGAACTTGATGAAGTTTTCCGCATAAAGTGAAGGGATTGTAAAACATATATAGAAGTTGGCTCCATGTAAAAATAAAACATATACTACAGAGGTACTGTGTGGATTATTACTTCTGCACTTCATATGTAGCTTATAGAGGATGGACTTGTGGTGGCCCTAAACAGATGATGACTTTGTGTGAGTTTTGAGGTTAATCAGTGGCATAAAGATAGTTAGTATGAAACCTGGATTTAAAGTGATTCTGAAGTCCATGTCCTTCCTTTACTCCCATTGTTTCTGCCATGCCATGGGTGGTGACCTCTTCCATAATACGATGATTGAGTAACCCACAGACTTCTTAACTCTGCAGCCTCGGGGGCTGCCAGGCCACGTGGACATGGAGATTCTGCACAACTCCACAGACTTCATCCTCCTGGGTCTCATCACCCACCCCACGTGCCCTGGCCTCATCTTTGCAGTCATCTTCTCCATCTTTGTGGTGGCTGTCACAGCCAACGTGGCCATGATCCTGCTCATCCACAGGGACCCACACCTCCACACGCCCATGTACTTCTTGCTCAGCCAGCTCTCCTTTATGGATACTGTCTACATCTGTGTCACTGTCCCGAAGACACTCCAAGACCTGCTGTCCAAGGAAAAGACCATTTCCTTCCTGGGCTGTGCATTTCAGATCTTCTTCTACCTGACCCTTATTGGAGGTGAATTCTTCCTGCTGGGCTTCATGGCCTATGACAGATATGTGGCTGTGTGCAGGCCCTTGCAGTACCCTCTCCTCATGAACCGCAGGGTTTGCTTATTCATGGTGGTGAGCTCCTGGGTAGGCGGATCCTTGGATGGATTCATGCTAAGTCCTGTCACCATGAGCTTCCCCTACTGTGGGCCTCGAGAGATCAACCACTTCTTCTGTGAGATCCCAGCGGTGCTGAAGCTGTCATGCACAGACACGTCTCTCTACGAGACCCTGATGTATGCCTGCTGTGTGCTGATGCTGCTCATCCCTTTGTCTGTCATTTCTGTCTCCTACACACACATCCTCATCACGGTCCACAGGATGAACTCTGCCAAGGGCTGGCACAAAGCCTTCACAACGTGTTCCTCCCATATAATGGTGGTGATCATCTTCTATGGGGCAGCCTTCTACACCAATGTGCTGCCCCATTCCTACCACACGCCAGAGAAAGATAAGGTTGTGTCCGCATTCTACACCATCCTCACCCCCATGCTGAACCCCCTCATCTACAGCCTGAGAAACAAGGATGTGGAAGAGGCTCTTAGGAAAGCCCTGGGGAGGTGTGCTGCCTCCCGGAGAATCAGAGCAGGGGGAGTGCCCAGGAAATACTAGGAGTGGGTGATGAAGCAAGTCTCCTTGTTGCTATGGCCAATGACACAGTCATTCCAGAAAGTACTGCCTTGATTCTGAAAAGCATGCCCTGTCATTTTCACAACTCAAAATCACCCACTGAGAAAAGTCATTGCACTGCAAGCACCAGTTAAGAAAAGTAGACAAAAGCAGCAAGCACCTCATCATGGTTAACTTGCTCAAATACATGCTTAGTCCATCAGCACCACCAATCATCCCAGCAGGCAAGCACCCCTTCTGAGTATCATCAGCAGTCATTTTTGATATATTTTTGCGATTTATTTAGAGAGAGGAAGATATTTCATCCATTGATTCATTCCTCAAATGGTCACCATGGCCGGGGTTAGTCTGGGCCAAAGCCAAGGACCAGGAGTTTCACCCAGGTCTCCCATGTGGGTGCAGGTACCCAAGTACATGGGTCACCTTCTGTTGTTTTCCCAGGTGCATTTTATACATCACAAGTGGGTGCTTTCAGTCTGTATTGATGACCAACTTCTGCACAGAAATTACAGCAGAATTTTACATGTCCTTGATAATTTAACAGCAAATATCCAAAACAAGTGAAATGTTTTCTAATGGTAATATAATAACTTAGCACTTTCCTTAGAAAACTTTGTGTAGTTTATATGATTGTATTTTGGGTTCTGTATTTATAGTCCACATTTTAGCAATGTCATTATCTTCTGACCTAAAGACTTATACTGTGGACACTTACTCTGCCTTTATTCACATAGACTAAAATATCCCTGGAAGTTAATAGCATTTATTGATTGCTTCATTGATTGATTTTTTTAAAAAAATTGACTTTACCATTAAGTTTGCAATGTTACTACAAACCTACAAAAATACATCTATACTTGAATAAAGTGCATATACATTGAACAATGAATCAAGATATTTCATGTGCTGACTTAACTCCCTGTGGTCAAGTTTCTCAATTTCCCTATTGACAGTCTCTCCATTGTTATGCAAAGGGACAAAGATTTCCTTTCTTAATTGATTGGAGTTAGGTGTGGTGTTTTGATAGGTGTGCAACTTTGATAGGGCATTGACTAAACAAGGATCACACTGAGTCTTCTACCCATCCATTTATGTAACTGACTTCTTCCTGGGTATAGGTCCTAAAATATGAGAAATACAAAGTGACATTGATTCACCTGGAGTTGCTTTTCTCTAACAGTAAAAGACTTAGAAAACACCTTACAAGTATCTGCCTGGTTACATGGTTGACAATGACACAGCACAGGTCACTCAATCCTATGCTATTCTGTGTCAACAGAGAGACAGGGAAAGCACTTGCTCCTCTAAGTTTCCTTCAGTGTGCTAAGCGCCAGGTTGGTTTTGCCTCAGAAAGTTCCTACTGGTTTGATCTTTTCCTGGCGTTAAACAGAGTATCCTGGAGGGATGGATCTCTTCACCTGTAGATGGAGGCCAGGATTACTTGTGAATGAAATCGTGAAACACTCTCACTACAGGATCCATCCTAGATCCCTGCACTGACACCATCTTCTTTCTCCTTCCTCTATCCCCACCTAGCACCATCATGGTCCTCCCTATATAAAACCAGTTCACTTCACTCCTACCCATGTCTTCATTCCCTTCTCCACAGGGGCCGACCTGCTCCCGGGCCTCTCTGGATTATTATCTAGAAAGACTTCTGTTCTTACACATCCGAGACTGATGCTTGCGAGTTTAACAGTGCATGTAACTCATACACTGGCAGCTATTTCAAAACACCGCGTGAGGAAGGTTGTTAAAATTTCCTGGAGATGTGCATTGGTGTCTGGGACACAGGAGGAGGGACTTCTGCAATGCTGCTCAGAGTCCAGTCAATGGGATCGCTTGTGGTTACATGTTTGTGCTCCCTTTGGCAGGGTCAATCATTCCCACCACTAAGAATGTGCATATTCCACCTAAATGTGATCTTTTAAAACTGTGAAATCTCACCATATACATGGTGGGTGCCTACTTTGCTCACATATAGCACTAACCCCATCCTAATAAGGAGTGACAAGGACATTTTCCCCGGGTCATCTCACCAAATTCTTGTCCAAGTTGACTTAAGGTCACCAGCGTTTCATCTTTCTAAAAACTCATACATTCCCTTGGGAAAGAGTGAGATAATTACATTTGCTTACAATTTGTTTTCAGTATTATCACATTCTACATTTGCAACTTGACATTCACATGACATGCATTGTTCTCAAGCATGAGGAAAGGAGGGAGAGAGAATATTCCCCATTTCCAAAACGTATTCAGCTGCCTTATCTGATTCTGATTCTGGTCCTCACAAAGATCTATGAAGTAGAACACACAGGAGATGAGCCCCATGGGGAAAGGAGAAACTAATGTTCAGAGCAAATTATTGCTTCATTTAAGCAAGAAAGAACCCTGCCTTCTGACTTCTGGTCTGGTGATGTGGTGCCAGACTTAGGCGCTAATTGACAGGCAATGTCTAAAGGAGAAGCTCCTGGTATAACGTGTGACTGCCAGCTTGTTAATCCTAATAATGCCCTCAAGGAGCAACGTGGGGATAAAAGCCACACCTGGTCACTGTTGGATGCCAGTGCACTGGTCTACCCAGGGCCTGAAGACCCCAGTGAGGCTGCTCCTGCAGGTGAGGGGCTTAGAATGTGAAATTCACGGAACCTTTGCTTTTAAGTGTTTGTTTTATTTGTTTAAGGAAGAAGCATTTATATGTACACAGCATGAAATTAGAATGACAGGAAAGATAAAATCTACCAATTAAACATTTTCTTAATTAACCAGGAAGATTTCAGGTAACTGAAAATACTTGGGCGATTATTCAGCCTGGGGAGAGAATGGAGACCTGTGTCGCCCAGAAGATGACAGTGCCTCCCCGCCAAGTGGAGTCCCTCCTCTAAAGGGAGGGACATGAAAGCAAAATGCTTCAGACACACGCAGGAGGAGGGAACACTGGAACAACAGGTAACTACTTGACATCCATGGGTTATTTAGCTAAACAACAGGGTAAGTCACAGTTAAATAAGCTGAAACAGACCCTTTCAGGCAGGTTAGTACTGGGAGCAAATCTGAAGGACAACTAAGGTCAGGTCACACATTCCCCAAACATTTGCAGGGGAGCTTCCTTCAAACTGTCAGAGACTCAGAGGTCAGGTGAAGGTGTACAGGTTCTGTTTCCATCACATCCCTCACATTAGCTGAGAACGTCCAAGTGATGAACAAATGCCTGCAACATCAGCTCTGACTATCCAATGTTGTTTCTTTTCTTCCATCAGCCCTTGAAGCTTATTTGATTTTATCAAATTTTACTCCTCACATAAGCAAAACCAAGGATCTTTCTCTTGCTCGGTGAAAGACCCAGGCACACAGAACAGTCCCTGCTGTGTCAGAGAAGTGTGCTCTCCACCAATACCACTGTAATGGACCAGTGAAGGCCATTTCATCTCAGGGGCTTCACACTCTAAAGCACAAGCCTGATTCTTCTAATCTTGTCCCTGGGCATCTCAGGTGTGAAGAATGGCAGTGGAAACAAGGTCAGTGGAATCAGGAGACTTTTGCAGACCAGGTAGAATTGTATGCTGAGGGTAAAGCTGGGAGCAAAACAACTGTCATCAAATTCTTTCCAAATTCCCCTATTGTTTTTTAAAATTTTATTAATTTATTGAGAGGTAGAGTTACAAACACAGAGAGGGAGAGACAGAGAGGTCTTCCATCTGTTGGTTCACTCCCCAAATGGCCACAATGGCTGCAGTTGGGTGGATCCAAAGCTAGCAGCAGGAGCTTCTTCTGGGTCTCCCACATGGGTGCAGGAACCCAAGCACCTCAGCCATCTTCTACTGCTTTCCCAGGCCATAGCAAAGAGCTGGATAGGAAGTGGAGCAGCCGGGAGTAGAAGTGGCTCCCATATGGTTTGCTGGCACTGCAGGTGGAGGTTTAGCCTATTGTGCCACAGCGCTGGCTCCTGTGAAGAAATCCTGCCTCTACACCATGGTCTGCACTTGGCATTTGGTGTCAGAAATAGTGGCCAGGTTCTGCAGCATCTACCCCTTTGGAACGTCAGTTCCAATCCTCTGCCTGGGACACCCCCTTGCCAGGGTGAGCAGGGTTGGCGTGCTCATATTCTACCTCCTCACGTGGCACATAAGCAAGAGGCAGCAGCACCAAGCGTTCAGCAACACACTTAGTAAGGGGAGCACTCAGTGGTGGGAGCAGTTTTTGTGATGCCACCCAGGAGGTCGAGACTGCCTTTGCTTTTCCAGGGATGCTTAGTTGGGTAACTAACCGGAGAGTCTGACCTGGCCCCAGCAGTGAACAGGCCATGCTGAGAATGACTGGCCCTGTGATGGCCTCCCCAAGGGGCTGCCCTGTGACCAGCAATGCTGGTCTGCCTTCGCAGAAGTGCCTGCCTAAAAGTGACACAACTGCCCCAACAGGCCAGCTAAACACAGCATGGGAATTTGAATTCTGATGACAGAGTTGGCATTTGACATGAAGTCTGTTTTACAATACTGTTTAAAAGGAAAATGTCCAGGTAGGCATTTGACACTACTTGGGATGTTCACATCCCATGTGGAGGTGTGGAGGTTTGACTGCTGCACTGCTCCCGACTCTAGTTTCCTGCTAAGTCACACCTGGGAGGCAGTGGTGGTGGTTCAAGTGCTTGGGTCCCTGTCACTCATGTGGGAAACCCAGATGGAGTTACAGACTGCTGGTTTTGCCTGCTGCAGGTATTTAGGGAGTGAACCAGCAGATGAGTTCTCTCCTTCTCTCTGTTGGTCTATCTCCCTCTCTCTACTCTCTGTCTTTTGAATAAAAAATACAATAAGTAACCAAATGTTTTTAAAAATAAAATAGCTCTTTAATCCCCATTTGTGGGACCTGTACCCGGGAAATTCTCAGGGACAAGTATGCAAAATCTCACCATTGTTTACCACGTGGATTTAGCTCTGTAAGCATTCACAGAATTACTGCAGTAATGTCACAATTTACTGCATAAGGATTGAACCTGGGCTCGCACATTTTAAAACGGTTTCCATGTGTGTATCGTAATGGTTGTGTCCTCAGAGTCATTTATTTTGAGGGAGCTCTGCCACCCCCTCCCCCTCCCCCTCACCATGCAGGGTGCTCTGCAGTAGCATGGTACTTTCCCACAGCTGAGGGAATTTGAACGCCCACAAACTCAGTTTATAATATCGCAGTTCTGAAGGTCAGAAGCCTGGCACTGGTCACACCGGGCTGGGGTCAGGTTGCTGGGAGAATGGCACTCCTGCTTGGAGGGTGAGGACAGAATCCATCGCTTGGCCTCTTCTGGTGTCCAGCAACCACCCCAGTTCCTGGGCTCACCACACTTCCTGTCTGCAGAACCAGGGGCTGAACCACTCTGACCTCTGCTTCGATACCAGGTCTCCCTTGACTGTCCTGCAGGGCCTCCAAGTGCAGAACAGCCCAGATCAATCTCCTCATGTCAGAGTCCTTCTGTGGGGCCTGCAGCCAGAGTCCTTTGTACCACAGAAGGCAGAGCCACAGGTGCGGGGGACCA